ACCGACATATGGTAGGTCTAACAAACGATTACCAAGTATAGCTTGGACCGTCTCTTCTCTTCTCCCCATTGTTGCGCGGTTTTAGGCATCGCCTGCTCCTGCTGACTGTTTTGAGCCCTTTAAACAAATTCCCGACGATTAAGCTAACGCGTCAATTAAAGATAACCAGATAATCATTCAGGTTAGAAAAAGTCTATTGTGAACGCTAGGCTAGCGAGGCGAAGGAGGTTCACAATTCCATGACAGCTTCTTGCTTCTCGGTTTTTGAGGCGTTTGGCGATAAACTCCACGATACTTCCGGATCCATAGCTCCAGTGATAGATGTCAGTGTGGCGTATAATAAGCAAAGTCATATTCCTCGCCTCCTTTGCCAATTCGTTTCAGGTCCCAAACCCGATTCCAGCATAATCCTTCGTTTGAGCTCGCTAATTGAGGAACCGTTCATTACGTTTACCAGGAAATTTGACCTTTGTGGTCTATGTCAACGATCAGCAGTTCTGACAAGTTCCCTCCCTTCGCCCCCCTCTCGTTCTCGCGTGCGGATTGCAGGGTCGACTAGTGATCAGGCGCGTCCCCATCAGTGTTATGAATACTACAAAGAGAGCGAGTCACGTTAGGGACCACTATTGGGAGCTCTTTTGCCAGATGGACATATAACAGCAGGTTATGGACCACGATAACCAACTTAATAACTCGTCAACGTTATTTTATGTCATGTCGACTTGTTCATCGCCCTCCCTTTTCGCTTTCGGTCAAATCAAAATGTACGGGATATGAGAGATGAGATGCTGTCCAATACTAGATGTTATCTAATCTGTTCACGCGCCAGAGAGGGAAAGAAAAACAAGGAAAAGACACGCGCCAATAAAATTGGGAACGAATGGCCGAAGCGCGGCCAATCAATGTCCACGTCCACTGTCCAAAAAAACCACGGGGCCCGACGTCGGCACTCTCACCACACAAAACCATAGACCATCCACCACGCTTCTTAGCCAGTCTAGCCAATAACCGCAAGGAGACAGTCGGCCAGCCTCATCTCGTACACACAAGTAAATACAATGGGGAGTGGTCGCCGCGTATGGCCTCTTCTCCCACTCTGCCTCTTCTTCTTTCTCGAGGATGATCTTCCCTCACTATATGAGAAGAGATGTACCGAGCTTCTACCCATTTTATTGACAATGTATTTGCTGAGGAGTAAAAGCGGCCATACCGCCCTTGAGATATACATCGCCCGAGACAAGACTTGCCCTAGTTAGGGACAGACAAAGCGACTGCTACGCAAACCGTCCAAGTCCATAGATCACCTGGCGCCTCTATACCTGTTTACCATCTTATTGTCTTCCTTTGTTGCTCTATCAAGAAATGAGAGGGCGTTTTATTGTCCTCGAATACGAACAAAGGGGAGGGCGCAGGGCACTCCTCTCGAAACCCTCCTCAGCAACAACAACGCCCGTACAAAGAAGAGGAGAGCAAAGGGGATACGCAAATCCTTGTCTAATTGTGTGACAAGACAGGACAGACATGGCGTTGAGGGCACCCTAAAACGATCGAGAGCGCAACAATGGGGAGAAGTCCGAGCTATACTTGGTAATCGTTTGTTAGAACTACCATATGTCGGTTTCTGTAAGGTTCGTAAGGAACATCCCGCGTAATAAGAATATCCCATCCATTCCCCCTCCCCCTCGTGAATATCAAAATGCGAAGGGGTACTTTTTACTTGAGATGTCGATCCTTAGCACAGTTTTGAAAGGATTAGGGTTAGCACCCGCCGGTCCAACTCAATACACACGCAGCCAGACGGCGGTCAAAGCCACAGGTCCCTTCTCCACCTCTCGCCTCTCGCTTCCGCTTCTCTCATTAGTGGCTTGCAAAGGCTGGACAAATCACGGCCTTTTGTCAATATTTGGTATCATTGGTACCCCGCCGACAGCCAGTGCTCCCCCATCAAAAAAAAAAAAACTGTTGAATAATTATATCGCCAGGACGATTGGGTACCAGTTAGGCCCAGCTCACGTTCATACTACGAACGATCACTATCCTCTCTGGTAACCACTGGGAGGATACCCAAGTATTTGTATTGGCCATGCAGGTTACCATATATGGTGAGCCTAGTGCCCGTTTCGGAAAGAAGGG